CCGAGCCCCCCGGCCCAGCCGGGACCCCTCCCCGGCCGCGGTACCTTGGTGATGCCCAGGACGCCGATGTTGGGGCTGGAGGACGTGGAGCCGTTGCCGGTTCCCAAGAGCCCCGCGATGATGCAGGAGATGCCCTCGGTGAAAATGCCCCTGGGGAGCAACACGGTGTGGCTGGTGCCCATCCCGCTGTCCTGCAGCATCCCTGACCGGTCTCCAGGGATGCCGCGGGGCGAGGGAGGGACCGTGGAGGGGGGAAGAGCCGGCTGTACCTGTTAATGGCGTGCACAGGGGGCGGGGGCGCTCCTGCCAGCCGGGCACAGGAGTAGTAGTCCCCGATGGACTCGATGATGCCCGCCAGCGTGGCGCTGAACATGCCCAGCACGGCTGCTGAGGTCACCGTGGGCAGCCCCCACTGGCCTGCCCGGGGGCAGAGCGGGTCAGGGCTGGGGACACCCCGGGACCTCCCCACCCCGGTGCTCACCGGTGCCGCTTTGGGCCCCCCCCCGAGTGCTCCCCAGCGCCGGTGATGCTGCGCCAGGTCCCCACATCCCCCAGGGCAAAGGGGTATCGGGGATTTACCGGGGGACACTCACAGGGGTAGGGGACACGGAACCAGGGGGCCACGGACAGGATCTCCCCGCGGGCGTCCGTCCTGGCCTTGTACCCGTACTCCTCGGGCCGGCTGGGGAACGCTCCGGTGATGGTCAGCACGTAGCAGATCAGCCACACCAGCATGATGGCCAGAATGATCTGCGGGGCACACACCGGGTCCCTCCCGCACCGCTCCCGAGCCCGCGTGTGGCTAAAGGGGGCGATTTGGGGCCGCCCCAGGATGCTCTCAGCCAGTCCCTACCGGGAACATCTTGAAGATCTGGATGCGGAGCAGGACAAAGCCGTGGCCCCGGCGGTAGCCGGGCAGGCAGATGGAGACCTGCCGCAGGTACTGGGCAAACAGGACGATCAGGAAGATGGTTCTGGGGGGAAAGACAGACGGGATCCCTCGTGCCCCTGACATCCTCCTGGCACCGTGCCGGACAACCCTGGCCCCCTGCCGCCCGTGTCCCCATGCCATACAGCACAGAGATGCCCCAGTGGGAGCCAGCCCGATCACCAGCAGCCTGGAAAACGGAGAGGCCGATGAGGGACACGGTGGGGGTGACGGTCAGCGGCCCGATGTAGCTGAGCAGTGCCCCGGGGAGCCCCAGCAGCCCGATGACCACTTCCACCAGGCTGGACACGATGATGGCTCCCTGGATCTGCAGGGCACGGAGGGGTGCGGGAGAGGGCGTCAGCAGCCTGCCGGGGGCTCCGGTGCCGCGGGGCGGCTGCAGGAGGGAGGCAGCCGGTACCTCTCGCATGCGGGGCTGCCAGATGTGCGATGTGTTGAGAGGCAGGGACCAGTTGCCGTAGATCTGCTCTGGGGATGAAGGGCGGTGAGGCGGTCCCGGGGGGCGGGGAGCAGCCGGACACCCCCTGCATCCCCCTGCCCTCACCTTCGGGTGGGCATCGCCACTTCTCCAGGGCCAGGATGGACTTGGCGGGGACAAGGAAGGCCAGCGCGCTCGCCTGGAAGAGGGGCAGCCTGGGGGGACAGAGGGATGCCTGCGCCCGGGCCCGGGGCTGGGCAGGGGCGCCCGCCGGGGCCGCGGCTCTACCTGATGCCCACGGTGGTCTGGATGAGGGTGGTGATGCCCACGCAGGTGAAGATGGTGCCGATGAGGTAGCTGACGGTGAGCTGGTCCTTGCCCACGCACAGGCTCTCGGCCAGCAGGAAGGGGACGGCGATGGTGCCGCTAAAGCAGGTCAGGTAGTGCTGGGGGGCGAGGGGGGGGGCTCAGCGGGGCTGCGGGGAGTCCCACACCGCGGGGAGAGGGAATTTGGGGTCTGCCACTTCCCAGGCTGTACCTGGAAGCCGAGCAGGATGCAGAGGTACCACGGGGGCACGTCCTCGATCCGGTAGATCATGTCCATCTCCGGCCGGGGGGGCCTGGTGCCCGCCCCGGGGTCCTGCTGTGGGGGCACAGCTCAGCCCGTCTCACCCTGGGGCTGCGAGCAGGGACGGACACCCGACCCTGTCCCATGGGAGCCGCTGTGGCCGCAGGGATGGGAGGGGTCGCGGCTGGCCGGTCTCCATCCGCAGGTGGGTTTGGGGTGTGGCGCTGCCCGCGGGGTGCCCCGGTACTCACCCTGCCCGCCTCAGGCAGCTCCTTCCCAGGGCTGTGCGGGGAGCCCCCGGGGGCCCGAGCCAAGCTCCCGTTCTGGCAGTGGGGACCAGGGGGAGCGGGGTCAGTGCGGACCCGGTGTCCCACGGGAGCGGGGCTGGGCTCTGCGGGACGCGGGTGACACCGGGCCGTGGCCCAGCACGTTCCCCGTCACTGCCACCCGGTGCCCACTCTGACTCCCAAGAGGGGTCTGGGCTCCCAAGCCCGGATCCCTACGTGGTATTTTGTTCCTGGAAGGTGTGGAGGGGGATCCCTCCTGCAGGTGATGGGAAGGGTGGCACAGCCAGCCCCAGTCGCAGCATTCCAGCGTGTCCCCTTGATCCCGGGATTCAGAGCGGTCCCCAGACTCACCCTGGCCTTTGCCAGCCCCATCAGAGCATCCTGACCCTGAGCTGGGGTCAGCGTCCCTGGCCACCGCCTCCCTCCCCACCGCCCTGGGACGACACCGGGGAAGGGACGGGGACGGGGACGGCGCCTGCATTCACCTGGGGCTGAGCCAGGTCTCCCGAGCGAGTCCCCATCCTGCGGCGACGCGTCCCCGGCGGTGATGTCGCTGCTCGGGGGCGTTTTATGGCCGTGGGAAGGACTTTAGTCCCCGGCCGGGCGGTGGCGGAGGCAGGGGCGGCGGGCGGGCCGGCGGCCATTGGCTGCGGGTTGTGAAACCGGCGAGCGCAGCCCCGCCACGGATCAGCCATTAACCGCTTTAATCGGGGCTGCTCCGTGGTGAAACATTACAGCCCGTGGGTTACACAGTAATTCCCAGCCCTCCCGGAGTCCGCGCTGCTGCCGGCACGGCCGGGCCGGGCGTCGAGCGACAGCGGCGACATCGGTGACAGGCGACAGCGGCGAGGCGCCCACCTCCCGACACGTGTCGGCTCCCGCTGGGGACGAAGTCGGCTCCGAAGGTCACCGGGGCATTAAGCATTAACCTCGCCGGTCTACAGCTCGTTCTGCAGCGCCTTGGGAGGGTCCGGGCGGTGCTTGCGGCCGGCACAGGGTCCCTTGTCCCCGTGGCACAGCAGCTGTCGCAGCGCCGCGGGGCCCCGCCGGTGCGCGCCGTAGATTTGCGCCTCTCCCTGCTCGCCCACGTAGCCGTGGCACAGCTTGGAGAGCCTGCGAGAGCCACCGCGGTCACCTGGCGGCGAGGGGACATCCCCGCAGCACCCCCAAACCCGACTCACCTGCTCGGCCAAGGTCCCCCCGACACCAGCACGCTCAGGGGCTGCTGCCTCGACAGCCCCGGCCCCGCCAGCCGCTTCTCCCCGTCCAGCTCCAACACCCCGTAACTGCGGGGAGAATGGGGTTGGAGGGAAAATGGTGGCAGGGGACACCCCTATCCCTAGGGAGACCCCCGGACACTCTGATCCTTGCGGCACCGCCGTCCTAGGGGACATTCTGAGCCCTGGGGACTCGTCTGTACCAGGGGACATCCCGATCCCAGGGAGACCCCGATCCCAAGAACATCCTCACCCCAAGGACACCCCCATCCCAGGGACACCCCCCCATCCCAGGGAGACACCCCCATCCCAGGGACATCCTTACCCCAAGGACACCCCGATCCCAGGGACACCCCGCTCACCTCTCCCAGTCCTGTGAGCAGCTCCTCTCCAGCACCTCTATATAGTCCGACTCCTTCAAAGCCTTCTTACCTACCTTCCCTTCTGCCTTGCTCAGCTGCTCTTCAATCTGGGGTGAAAAAAGGCAGAATCCGGGCAGTGAGGGTGGCAGCCTGTCCAGGACCCTGCTCTCTAGCGGGGCTGGGGTCCGCACCCCGTTCTGTGCTGAAGCACCTCTGCATGGGTGAGAGGGTCCATGAGGAGCCCCAAAAGGCTTTTTTAAGGTGCCCATGCGGAATATCCATCAGTGGCGTGCCCCAGAGGAGCAGCGGCATCTCCCCAAGCTGGAGCCTCCCCTCAAGGGCTCTCACTGCCGCTTTCGGGGCTCCGTGTCCCCACCTGGAAAGCGATGGCGTGGCAGGAGTCACAGAGCAGGGATTCGGGCATGTGGGGCGAGAGCCGCTCCTCGGGGCTGAGCTGGGGAGCGGCGATAGAGTGGGAGGGGGTGCCGGGGGGGTCCCCGCACATGTTCTCGGCCCCTGTTCCCCCCAGCAGGCTCAGGCTCAGCACCAGCCACGCTGCCAGCGCCGCCCGCATCCTGCCGCGCTCCCCAAGTGCGGGGCGGAGGCGTGGGGTGGCTGTAACCCTCCGGGGCGGGCTAATAAACCCCTGGGGCGGGCTATAAACCCCCGGGGCGGGCTATAAACCCCCGGGGCGGGCTAATAAACCCCCGGGGTTGGCGAGCGGCGCTGAGGCGCGGCCAGCGCACACCTGCATCCGACCCGGGCGTTGCGGCAGGAAGGGGGGGTGTGCATGGGGTGTCCCCGACCGAGTGTCCTCTCTCTGGGACGTTTTTGCTGTTAACTCAGTCCTGTAGTGCCTGAACGCTTCTCCTCAACCTAAATCCTTCCTGGGATGGTGTGCACCTACAGGGGCTGGGGCTGGGCGAGGGTTTGGGACTCAGGGCTGGGATTTGGGGTTTAGAGCTGGGATTTGGGGTTAAGGATTGAGGTTTGGGGTTCAGAGCTGGTTTTTGGGGTTTAGGGCTCACTGCAGAGTCCCCTCCTGCTCCCAGGGACTGGGATTTCTATGGCCGACACTCCAAGACAGACAGAAAGTTCCAAGTGCCTCAGCCCCTCGCCTCCCTTGACAGAACACACAAGCACAGAATGAATAAACAGATTTAAAGCTCTTTCAGCATTTTTATTACTCTTTTGGGGTGTCTGTGCTGCAGCCGTGGCTGGCAGGGGGCTGGGGGTGGCCAGGCCATCACCCCCCTGTGAGAACCAGCCCGGCCCATCCTTGGGATGGGACTGGCAGGACTGGGGGAAGCAGGACCTGTGTGGTTCCTTTGCTGCCCGGAGCCCACCTCCATGTCCCCCTGGGGCTGCCAGGTGCTCACAGACGAAAATAACCTTTTTGTCCCCGTTTCCACGAGAAGCCAGTGAAGTCCAGGCGGTGCCCGCTGCCCCTCGGCGCTTTGCGGGCTCAGCCGTGAGTAGGGGGCCCTCCTGCCCCAGGGGTGATGCTGACTCCGGGCTGACGGAAGGGACATCCCCACGGGTCCATCCCGTCACAGCCGGAGCAGCGAGCCCTCGGGCGCGGCGGGGCTGCCGCGGGCCGGGGGCTGCTCGGGGCCGGGACTGGCCCGCATCCCCGTGGGGATGTAGTACAGGCTCTCCAGGTAGCCGCAGTCGGGACCCCCGGCAGGGGACGGCCCCTCGGCCTTGGGAGCAGAGCCGGGGGTCCCGGGGTTTTCGGCAGCCGGCAGCGAGGGGCGCGGAGGCGAGGGGGCGGAGGGCGGCGGTGCCGGGAGCCCCGGGAAGCCGCCGTAGGGGGCGTAGGGTGGGCCATAGGCCCCCGGGGCCACGATCAGGGGGTTGAAAGGTGCCGGGTAGAGCCCGGTGTGTGATGCCACCGGTGGGACCAGCACCTCCAGGTACTGCCCGGTCTCGGGGTCGTAGAGCGTTTTCATCTGGGGCTGCCGCGGCGGCTCCATGTAGTAGCACTTCCCGCTGCTGGGATCCACGAGCATCCTCCGCTGCGCGGGCAGGGGTGCGGGGAAGGGCTTGGGGGGGCTTTGCCTGCTCCTCCCACTCGGAGAGGGGCCGTCGGTGCTCCTGAGGAAATGAGGAGCATCCTCCAGGTGGGGCTGACCCGGGGGCTCCACAGCAGCCGGGCCCTCGGGGGGTCGGGGCAGGGGGGGCTCAGGGCTGGGCTTGCTCCAGGGCACTTCCCCGGCAGGAAGGGGATAGGCACCAGATCCCAGCGGAGCGCTGGCCGGGCTGGGGACAAAAGGGGATCCAAAGAAAGAGCTGGCCATGTGGGAGGCTGATGGACGCCCAAGGGAAATGGGGATTGGGTTGCTGATCAAGGGGTTCCCGAAGGATGCACTGGATGGATTGGGGACCAGTGGGGACCCAAAGGATGCACTCGATGGACTGGGGACCAAGGGGCTCCCAAAGGATGCACTGGATGGATTTGGAACCAAGGGATTCCCAAAGGATGCACTGGATGGATTTGGGATCAAGGGATTCCCAAAGGATGCACTGGATGGATTTGGGATCAAGTGGCTCCCAAAGGATGCACTGGATGGATTGGGCACCAGTGGGTTCCCGAAGGATGCACTGGATGGATTTGGGACCAGGGGGTTCCTGAAGGATGTGCTGCACAGGTTGGGCACCAGAGGGGCCCCAAAAGACTTGTTGGAGTTGGAAACCAAGGGGGTCCCAAGGGATGTGCTGGCCTGGATGGAGGCTGATGGGAAGCCGAAGGATGAGCTGGTCACAGTGGTGACCATGGAGGTCCCAAAGGACACAGTGCCTGGGTTGGGGGCTGAGGGAGCCCCAAAAGAGGCGCTGGCTGGGCTGGGGACAAAGGGGGTCCCAAAGGATGCACTGCCTGGGTTGGGGACCAAGGACAGCTTTGGCATCAGCGTGGATTTGGGGGCTCTCTCGGGGATTGCCAAGTAGCTGGAGGTCTCTTCAGGGGCAGCGGCCGGGTAGGGCTCTGTAGGCGCCGGGCACTGCGTCGAGTGCTCCCAGGCCCCGGGGGGGCCTTCGCTGCCGTCCCCGGCTCGGGGCGGGGCGGCGGGGCCGGTGCCACCGGCAGAGCCCCCGCTGCCCACCGCCCCCTGCCGGCCTCCGGGCTGCTCCTGCCTCTGCTCGCTGGCCCGGGGCTCCGCCGCGCTGCTGCTCCCCGGGGCTCCGGCTCGGGGGTCCCGGCTGTCCCCGCTGCTGTGTCGCTGCCCCAGCGGCTCCGGCCCCTCGGCGGAGTGGAGCGCCCTGGTGCCGCCGCGGCCGCGAACCTCCTGCCCCTCCGCGGGACTCGTGGGTGGCGGAGGCAGGAGAACGGTCTTCTCTGCCCGCAGCACCGCGCTGCTCTGAGCCGGGGAGCTCTCCCTGGCCCCCGGGCCGGGCCGGCCCACCAGGACGTGCAGATGGGTCTCCACGTGCGGCACCCGTGGGGGCACCCTGAGCTCGCTGCGCTCCCGGCGCGGGGGCGATGCCGGCGGCTCCTCCGTGGGGGCCGCTCCTCTCCGCGTGGCCTGGACCCTCGTGATGTTGATGGGGGAGCTGTGTGGGGGCGCGGCCCGGCTGCCGGGGGGCTTTGCGGGCCCCTCGGCACAGGCCGGAGCTGCCAGCACCTCCTCACCCGCCGGCTCCGGCGCCGGCTCCCGGCGGACCGAGGTGCAGTGGATGACCAGAGGGGCGGCCGGGGGGGGCTCCCCGCTGCTCGTCGGTGCCACGGTGCCACGGGAGGAGCCGGCAGTCCCGAACTTGAGGCTGTAGCTGCTCTTCACCAGCTTGCGCACGTCCCGGGGCTGCGGGACTCGCCCCTTCCCCTTCTCTTCTGGCTTGGGGGGCGCGGCTGGCGGGGACCCCCGGGGGACCGGGATACCGGGGCTGGGCGGCCGGCGGGGCGCTGCCGGCGGCTTCTCTGGCTGGTTCTGCGGCAGCGACCTCGCCTCCTGCCCCCGGGAGGAGGTGAAGGGGCGGCGCGGGGAGGTGGAGGGGAGCGCCGGCCCCTCGGCTTTGAAGGGGAGGGTTTGGGAATGGATGGGGCCGATGGCTCTCTCCTTCAAGCTGGGCCACGGCCTCGGTGCCCTCGCAAACCGAGGGGCGACATCCAGCATCTTCCCCACCCCAGGCTGGGCTTCGAACAAGGCGCGGGCTCGCTGGTAGCAGATCCTCTCCGACGTGTGCTCCTCTGCGGCCGCGGGCAGCCAGCGGCCCTCCAACACCTCCCGGTACTTCATCCTCTGGTTGAGCTCGTTGAACGTCTTCCTCAGGTTGCAGACGGTCTCCCTCGTCTCCTCGCTGAGCACCACGCCCTTGGTGGGATGGGTGGTGGTGGTGCTGCTGCTCCCCGCGGCCGCCGTGGCCGCCGGCATCCCTCCGCCCCGCAGGTCCTCGGCCGAGAAGCTGCAGTCCGAGCGGGACAGCGAGCTGGATTTGCCCTCCAGACCATCCCCCAGCAGGTCGGTGCCGGCGGAGGACGGCCCCGAGGAGGTCGAGCTGCCCCGCAGCCCCTTCTGCTCCATCTTGATGCGCTGCTCGTATTGCATCTTCTTGGCCAGGACGTTTTTCACTAGGCTCGAGGCCGCCCTGGTCCTGTCGGTGCCGGTGCCCAGGGACGCCGCCTTCATGAACTGTTGGTAGTTGAGCCTGAAATCCTCGCCGAGGGCTCTGCCCTTGCTGGGGGGCTCCTTCCTGGCAGGGGGCTGTGGCGCTGGGCCATCCCCCCGAGGGCCAAAGCCCGTCTCCTTCCTCTCCTTCCTCTTCAGCAGGATCTGGCGCTTGGGCACCGTCCTCTTCTTGCCGTGGCCCTTCCTGGCCTCGCCGCTCTCCAGCTCCACGTCCACGCACTCGAACTGCTCCTTGGCCAGCAGCTCCCCGTCCAGGCCGGCGGGGAAAGGCCAGCCCACCCTGCCATGCAGAGCTGTCACCGCGCCCCGGAGCTCCCCGGCGCCCGCCGGCCACCGCCGCGGCCGCCCGCCGTCCTCCGACAGCGAATTGGAGAGGCTGGAGGAGGTGTGGGAGCTGCACATGTCGAGGCGACCTCCGGGGAGTCCCGAGAGGCTGCGGAAAGCCCTCGCCGTCAGCGCCTGCACCTCGCCGTCCACTTCGTCCGAGTCGCTGGGAGCCCCGGCGAGCATCGCCCCGGGCTGCCGGGGCACGGCCGGCTCCCCGGCGGCGGCAGCGGCCGGCACAGGCTGCCGGTCCCCACCGAGGGGACCCATCCTGCCCCCCTGGCCCTGCGCTGGGCTATTCTTAGCCGCGCTGGACAGCTGAGCCCGCTGCGGGCGGGCGAGGGGGCCGGGCGGTGGGGGGACGCCGGGGGCCCCCGCCGGAGCCCAGCGCCCCGGGGCAGCCCGGCCGGGCGCTCCCTCCTCGTCCAGGAACTCCAGGCAGTCCTTGAAGGTCTCCGTGCCGTCCGAGCACAGGGCGGAGTGGTAGGAGGACACGGAGGAGCTCGACATGCTCTTGGTGAGGTCGTCGCGGGGCAGCCCCGGGAGGTGTCCGTCCTCCTCCTCCTCCTCCTCCGCGGACCGCCGGCCGTCCCCACCCGCTCGGGGACCGTCTCCCTCGGGGCCGGGCAGCTCGGCCGGGGACAGCAGGACCGGGTCCCTCTTCCCTCGGGGCATGGTGGCAGGGAGGAGCCCGGGGGCTTCCGGCGGTGCCGGGAGCCCCGCTCGGGGCTGGGGCCGCTCTGCCGGGGCCGCTGGCTCGACCTTCTGGCTCCCTCGCCGTCCCGGCGGCTGGACCCGGCGGTGGCAGCAGAGCAAGCCCCGGATCACATGGACTCAGCGAGCGCCAGCCGGGGCAGCCGATGCCAAGCGCATTGCAGGGATGCCACCGCCGCCCCCAGCCTCGGGGACCTGCCGGGGGGCCGCCGGCTCATCCCTGCCCCTCATCGCGCTCCCCAAACCGCAGGACAGGTCCCAGGGCATCCCGCAGAGCTCCCGGCTGTGTGATCCCACGGAACGGCCTGCGCTGCCCCGGAGCGGGGGGGACCTGCAGAGCCCTCTGGGGATGTCCCATCCCCGCTGCTGAGGGCACGGCAGGATCCCGAGCTGCAGCTCCATTCTCACCAGGGCACCTTTCCCGGTGCCACCGCCCACCTCGCCACGGCAGTGGTGCGTCCACACTGCACTTTCCCCAAAACACACCCTTACCCCATGCAGGAGCTCCCCCATATCTAATCCAAATATCTGTATCTCTCTATATATCTATATCCATATCTAATCCAGGAGCAAACTCAAGGCTTGGGATCAAGCCGGGCATGGAGCACCCCTGGGATTCACAGGAGCTGACCAAAGGACTGCAACCATCTGTTTTTTGGGGACACCCCAAGCCAGTGCTGGGGTGGCTGGAGTGACAGGAGGGTCTCTGCAGCTTGCAGACCCCAAGTGCTTCTTGTGCAGCCCAGTCCCCGCTTTTGGGGGAATTTTTGCCATGAAACAGAAGCAGCAGGTGCTTCCCAGCACTGCCAGCCCCAGAGCAACCCGATGCCCAAGTCCCCTGGGTTCATGCAGGGACTAAATTTAAACCTTGGCAGGGAGGAGAGGAAAGCTTCCCTCAGAACTGGGCTGGCACTTAACCCTTCCCTGCTGAGCTTGGCTGGGTTTGCAGGTGGCATTTGTGCCCACAGGGACTGCAGGGGACCTGCCACGGCCACCGCTCACTGGTGTGGTGGCCTTGTGTGTATGTGGGATTCCAAACCCCCAAATCCCTTTCTTCACGGAAAGGGGGGTCAGGCACTGGCACAGACTGCCCAGGGCAGTGGTGGAGTCGCCATCCCGGGCTCTGCTTCTCCACCGAGCTCCAGGGTGTGTCTGGGGCCATCCCAGCTCCTGTGAAGCGGACGGACACCGGACAGACACCGGACGGACAGCCGGGTGTCCGGTGCTGCTCTCCCGCCACCCTCGCAGCCTCCGGTGTTGCTGTGTCACTTGTCACAGCTGTTGTCACTGTGACCATTGTGGTTGTAGCAGGAGCTGGCTGTTGGAGGAGCAGCAGCAGCAAGGACTGTGCTGAGCACGAGTGAGGCAGGGGAGAGGCTGGGAGAGCTGGGGGTGCTCACCTGGGCTAGAGAAGGATCCAGGGAGAGCTCAGAGCCCCTGCCAGGGCCTAAAGGGGCTCCAGGAGAGCTGGAGAGGGACTGGGGACAAGGGATGGAGGGACAGGACACAGGGAATGGCTTCTACTGACAGAGGGCAGGGTTAGGAAGGAATTGTTCCCTGGTGCCCAGAGCAGCTGTGGCTGCCCCTGGATCCCTGGCAGTGCCCAAGGCCAGGCTGGAGCACCCTGGGGTAGCGGAAGGTGTTCCTGCCCATGGTGGGTGGTCTTTGGGGATCTTTCCAACCCATGCCAGTCTGTGACTCTGTGATCCCAAGGATGCCATGAACAACCCGTCTGGGGGTGCTGTGGGATGGCAGCAGAACTGGCTGGGCATTGCTGGCACTGCCCTGGCTGCCACCAGCCTGCCAAGCCAGGCCATGCTGCAGCACCTGCACCTCCTCCTGCTGCTCCTGGGTTTGTCCCTCAGTGTGGAGGCCATGGAGAGAGCTCCTCGGGCCAGATGAAAGCCAACCAGCATCCCCCAGCAGCCAGAGCAGGAGCGTGGGAGCAGCCCGTGGGGCACAAACACGTTACAGAACAACGCACAGACCCCAGCTGAGCCAGACTTGCTAATTAAACACTGATTTATGTTTAAGCCAGCATGATACTGCCTGCAGCCTCACCACTGCATTTGCTTATTAACCTGGATTTTGTGCCAGCTCGGTGCGTGCTCACCTCAGTGCCGGCAAACCTGGCACGGGCAGCGAGGAAGATGAGGAGGAGGAGAAAGGCTGCTGGTAGCTGCCGAAAGCAGGATGTGCCTCTCCCACGCTGGAGCTACTTTTTGCAACTCCGGAGGAGCAGGAAACACCGGCCCAGCTTGGCAGGGGCTTTCAGAGCTGCCTCTGGGGTTCAGGAGGGTTCTCAGCAGCCCCTGCGAGCTCAGGCCCCGGGACACCCCAGGGTGCTGGGACAGAGGCACCCACCCGCCCCCCCTGTGCCAGGGCTGTGCCCCCTGAGCCAGGGGCCAGAGAGCGGGGCTGGGCTGGGACACGGCGGGGCAGGAGGGTGTCAGGGGCCAGCCCCGCTCCCAGCCCCCTGTCCTCTTCCAAGCCCCATTGCCAGCCCCCTATCCCGTTCCCGGCCCCACTGCCAGATCCCTATCCTGTTCCAAGCCCATTCCCCGTCCCCTGCTCCGTTCCCAAACCCCTGCTCTTGCACCTGCCCCGTTCCTTGTCCTTCTCCCCGCTCCATTCCCAGCACCTGTCCCATTCCAAACTCCGTTCGCAGCCCCTTGCCTCATTCCCTGCTCTGTTCCCAGTCCCGTGTCCCATTCCCAGTCCCGTTCCCATCCCTCGGTCCCGTTCCCAGTCCCGTTCCCATCCCTCGGTCCCGTTCCCATCCCTCGGTCCCGTTCCCAGTCCCGTTCCCATCCCTCGGTCTCGTTCCCATCCCTCGGTCCCGTTCCCATCCCTCGGTCCCGTTCCCATCCCTCGGTCCCGTTCCCAGCCCTCGGTCCCGTTCCCAGCCCTCGGTCCCGTTCCCAGCCCTCGGTCCCGTTCCCAGTCCCGTTCCCAGCCCTCGGTCCCGTTCCCAGCCCTCGGTCCCGTTCCCAGCCCTCGGTCCCGTTCCCAGTCCCGTTCCCATCCCTCGGTCCCGTTCCCATCCCTCGGTCCCGTTCCCAGTCCCGTTCCCGATGGGTCCCACGTCACGTGCAGGCCGCGGGGCGGGGCCTGCACAGGCCCCGCCCCCACTATGGAGGCGGGAACACAGGCCCCGCCCACACGGACCCTCCCGCCCCTCACACGGAGGGGACGGCTCAGATCCCAGCCCCGATCCCAGCCCCGATCCCGATCC